ACTGTATATTAAAACTTATTATTTTACCACACACACTTTGTGTGAGATACCTCTAACAATGTCAAGGCTCCGAGGTAGTCTCTCTGCTGCAGGTATTCCTCCAAAGTGGGAACCTTGGTTTTGTTTTTCTTCTTTCTGTCACCGATGCTCACCTGAGTCTCTCCTCCCACAGCTGGCTTCGCGCGTGAGAGGATCTGCCGAGTAATCAGAATAATTAGATTATTTTCCTTAAAATGATGAATAACCGGTCGGTGGTGACTGTAATCAAGTAAATGGAATATGTTGTCAAAAGAGATCATTCAGGAAAACAAACAATAGTTGCTTTTGCAATATCAAATGTTTTCTTACCATTTCGACAAAACTTGAACAGGTTATTTAGAAATTATTATTSTAAACACAGCTATCGGTAATGTAGTAACCACGGCGGGTTGTTGTTGTTTTCTAAAGTTAATGTTTTTAAACTTGCACAGCTGTGCCCATCTACAAAATTCTCAAAAGTCTGTCATAAAATTTTTATGCATTATTGCCTCCTGCAAAATCCGCTAGGATTGTCTCTCGGCATCACCTAGCTTGCTAACAGCTTAGCAAAAAATCGGTACAAGTTAGTGTTTCCGCTGTTGGATTTTCAAGTTAAAAGTACAAGCGATGGCCTTTCGAAAACCGGAACACTTTTCGCCGGTATTGCGCAGCTTTGCACAGTCTTATGAGTTGCTCAAGACGGAATTCTGCAAAAACAATTAAGCAAATAAATGTGACTTTTGTAACCATACTAGAATACTACCGGAAATCGACCTTTATTTTGTAATTTGATAGAGTTTTACACTTAACCGGAAATGAATGTTTCTGTCTTTTTTCCTTGTGTTTAGCCTTTGTTGCCTCGCAACCACGAGACGCAAAACTTGAGTCGTAGCGGTATATACAATTAAAAATACGTATTTACATACGACAATAAAAATTTCTTGATATATACAAAGCATTTAATGGTGTCGCATAGAATTTGGTGTTTTATTTTTTGATCCCTCCATTACTAATGCCCCAGTGGCCTAATGGATAAGGCACTGGCCTCCTAAGCCAGGGATTGTGGGTTCGAGTCCCATCTRGGGTGGAAGTSCTCTTTTCTCATTTAATAAACATCAGAAGGTTTTGATACAGTCACTGAAATTTGTTATTTGTCTTTGTTGTCACTCAGTCTTTTAGAGAGAGAGAGACAGGTCAAGGCTAGAGGGTCACGGACAGCCTATAATAAAAACCATCCTAAAACAATTGTGTCTATTTATAAATATAATAAAGTCCTGCAGCTGTAAACATATTAAAAATACCAGGCTGCAATGAGTGCTGACTACAGGACACGTGCAGACAAGATCTGTCATCCTAATAAAAATTATWAATATAATATTTTCACAAAATAAAGCTATTCAAATTAGACCTGCATTTATTTAATTTACTTGTAGTCACCCAGTCTGGCCACACAACGGTGCCAGATGGTTTTAAATGTTTTTGGAGGACAATGTGGAACATGGTAATTATAGTAAAAATATCTAATTTAAAATAATCTAAGCTTCTTAAAGGATATTAAATTATAGATTTTATTATCCTAAGTCTTGAAATTAATTCAATTTAAATACAGTAAAGTACAATATTCGGTTAAATTGATGCCTTCACAAAAAGAGAGTAAATATCTATTTATCTATGCATTTTACTAAAAGCCATGACTGCTTTAAATTAAACAAGAGAAAAGAGATGAAAAAAATAAAAATACGATAACTTTAACAAAACCTACAACAAAATATTTGGTTTATTTTTTGCAGAAATTTGCTTTATGCCGGAAGAATTTGACTTTAGGAAATGTAAACAGAGATCTCATTTACTTGTATGCAAATGTTTTCTTTTCCATCAGCTCAGAGTGTGAGGAAGAGGATAAAATCAGAGCCTCAGGCTGCTGGACACAGACTGAAGCAGGATGGAGAAGATCGTCTTCAGTGTCATCGTCCTTACCGGTGTGTGCTGTTTGTCCACCAAACATATTTTCCATGACGAGTCAGATAAGACATGGGAAAAGGCTCGAGCACACTGCAGGGCCTATCATAACGACCTTTCACGTCTCTCCAATGGACTGGAGGAAGAGTTGTTCAAAGAGTCTGTGGGTCTGAACAAAGAAGGATGGATTGGAATTTATTGGGATCAGAGCATTAAAAGCTTTGTGTGGTCAGGAGGAGAAAAGGTCACTGACTTCAGCAAACTTGGTTTACCAAATACTATAGATATTAACGACCCACCACACTTAGCTGATAATATCTTGTGGAACAACAACGGATGGCATTGGGAAAATGGCGCAGGCGGACGCAAATTCTTCTGCTTCAGCCTGACGCTGGTGCAGGAGGAGAAGACCTGGGAGGAGGCTCTGGAGCTCTGCAGAATGAACCACAACAACCTCAGCAGCCTGCTGTCTGACACAGACGTCCGTCTGGCCACGAATGAGATGAATTACACCCACAACACCGAGCCCGTGTGGATCGGCCTGCGTTACCTTGCAGACGAGTGGCTGTGGGTGAACGGAGACCATCTGAATTATAAGAGCTGGTCMCAAGAAGGAGATCAGGACCATCGGTGTCCGGTGAAGCACCGCTGTGGAGCTTTAACCAAGCGGGGAGTGTGGGAGAGCCGGGACTGTCAGGAGAAACTCTGGTTCATGTGTGGCTGAAGGTTCCTCTGAGTTCAGACATMTAATCATGTCTTTATAGTTGTTACTTTACACTTTACCTTTTTATTAATTTAAATAAGCTCAAGTTAACGGTTTGAGTTTAGTTTCACTCTGCGTGTCCACTGAGTTAAATGTTTGGTTTGGGTAAATTTTTCTGCTCCTAAAATCTTCTAAAAGTCTTTATTTGAAGTAGTTTTGTTTGCTGTGTAACAAAAGCCAAAAAATCAGAAGATTTACGAATGTAATCAATCATGTGCATTGTTTATGTAATCTAAGAATAAATGTTTTTGTTCTCACAAATTAATTTCATTATTTTAAAAAGTAATTAGCTTTTAGAACATCTGTCACGGATGCTGTGCCTTCTGTTTTGTTCTTGCTGTGGTGAATAAAATTCAAATAGATCTAATTCAAAAACAAATGACTCATTTCTTTTATTATCTGYTCTTTTTGTTCAGGTGTAACCTTCAGGCCTCAGACTCTGTTAGGACCTCTAATCTCTCAGACTTCTTCTTTGCACCTTAAATTAACAAAAGCAAAACTTTTACACCTGTGATATCTGAAGCTCAGTCTTCAAATATGGAAAAAGAACATTCTGCTTCTGTTTAAAATTACTGATAAAGTTAAAAGTCTCTGAAAAGTGTTCGTAATAGTATGAAATCCCTATTTGCCACAAGTTAWACAACTATGAAAAGGATGAATTTCAAAATATTTCTTTGTAGAAAATTCAAATTTTGCATCCCACAGAGATGTCATTGTGCTCTCCTCATCAGTTCTAAGTAGCAGGGCCGGCCCTGGCCAATCTGGCTCCCTATGTGGGCAAGATTTTAGGTGGTGCCACTTCTGCAAATTTCTATCMATTTTACTCTAAGAAAAAGTTACAAAACATTTTTTTTCCACCAATTGTGGAGCCCTCTRGAGGGACGGTGCCCTTAGTGTTTGCCTACACTGACTATGCCATCATTTTATTCACGTTACACTCAGTGACAGAATCTATCTGATACCACAACATTTATTCATCATGATGATRAGTTATACATTTTAATCATAAGTTGTTTAAGTAAATTCTTACTTTTGTTATWAAAGTTTACTGTCCTTCTTGTCCTTCAGAGAAAAGAGATGAAAATTAGGTTTATTTTTTATGTTCAAGCTATTACAACTTTAAGAGACTTAAGACTTAAGAGAATTTTATTTGCCATTGCAACATTAAGCACAACAAAAATTCAGTTCAGGACAAACCGTACAGAGAAATACAACACAAACAAACATGGGAGAACAGGTGCCTGGGTGGTGCAGCCATAAGAGGCACTACCCTTATCCTTAAAAAGAAAAACTAAATACCCCATAAGGAAAAATGAGGAAAACATACTATGTCACAAAAAGTGACACACTATTTGCAGAAAAAAACACTGCAGAGCAAAGATTGCAGTAGAGTGGAGGATAAGGAGGTGGGGGTGGGGGGGAACACAGGTAGCTACAAGCGAATGCATTGAGAGATAAGGGAAGTGTATCTGAAGCCATGAACTGTTGTATGCACATGCGTGAGCATCTGAAAATAAAACCATCTGTGACCAGTCTCTGAACAGCACCGCCCAGTCATAGTCCCAGTACAGTGATGTTATTGTTCATCTGTGCGACCTTCAGCAATGCTTCCAGATTCCAGTTCACACATGGGAGTGAGAGGAGGGAAAGGTGGGCAATATTTAATCTCTTTTTCAATCTTCTTCTTTCTTTTTCTTCTTCTCTTCTATTAAAAAAAGTCACAGACGATGAAGAAACTAAACTAACATTCAGTTCTGTTTTCTACTGAAGTGGCTTAAAAAAAACTTTAACATATTTGGTCAATTCCCAGAATTATACACAGAGGTTTGTTTTGTGCACAGAGAATTTGACTTTGAACAAAAATAACCAGAGGTCTTGTTTACTTGTGTGCAAATGTCTCCTTTCGTCAGCTCAGAGTGTGAGGAAGAGGATAAAACCAGAGCCTCAGGCTGCTGGACACAGACTTGAGCAGGATGGAGAAGATCATCTTCAGAMTCATCRTCCTTACCGGTGTGTGCTGTTTGTCYMSYAAACATATYTTCYATGAGRASYCARAAATGACATGGGAAAATGCTCGAGCACACTGCAGGGCCCRTCATAACGACCTTTCACGTCTCTCCAATGAACTGGAGGAAGAGTTGTTCAAGAAGTCTGTGGATCAGAACAACGAAGGATGGATTGGAATTTATTGGGATAAGAGCATTGAAAACTTTGTGTGGTCAGGAGGAGAAAATGTCACWGACTTCAGCAAACTTAATTTACCACATATAGATCTTATCCACCCACAACACGTAGCTGAAAATATCTTGTGGAAAAACAATGGATGGCATTGGGAAAATGGCGCAGACGGACGCAAATTCTTCTGCTTCAGCCTGACGCTGGTGCAGRAGGAGAAGACCTGGGAGGAGGCTCTGGAGCTCTGCAGAATGAAACACAACAACCTCAGCAGCCTGCTGTCTGACACAGAYGTCCGTCTGGCCACGAATGAGATGAATTACACCCACAGCACYGAGCCCGTGTGGATCGGCCTGCGYTACCTTGCAGACGAGTGGCTGTGGGTGAACGGAGACYATCTGRATTATAAGAGCTGGYCCCAAGAAGGAGATCCGGTGAAGGACCGCTGTGGAGCTTTAACCAAGCAGGGAGTGTGGGAGAGCCGGGACTGTCAGGAGAAACTCTGGTTCATGTGTGGCTGAAGGTTCCTCTTAATATTTGGTCTTTTACACTTTTCCTTTTGTAAACTTTAAATAAGCTCAAGGTAAATGTTTAAGTTTAGTTTCATTCTGCGGGTCCACTGAGTTATACTTTTGTAATATATATATTTTTTTGTTTCCAGCTCAGAAATCTGTTATCTAAACTTTAAAAAAACAGCTTTTTGCTGTAATGGATTGTTTGCGGAAAATTAAATTATTTACAAATGTAATCAAGCATGTATTTWTCTAGTAATGCATTGTTTTCTCCTTGTAATCCATGAATCATCTTWAAGTTGTGAGTAATAGTCTGTTCACAACCTATGAGGGGAGTGACACAAAKAATAAAGATGCTTTTCTTTTTTATTGATAAATGCGATAAATTAATTTTATTCCCTTATATTTCATAGATATCTTCTGTTTTGTTCTTGTTGTAGTGAATACATCTCAATGTACTTAAATAGAAATGATTCATTTCTTTTAAAATCTGTTTGGACCAGACCAGAACATCTTCATTCTGCATCATTTACACCCAAGTTTTCCCTGAGATATTCTCTTTTTTTCCCAACATTTTCCAGATCCAGACTAACTTTAATTACAGCCTCACAGATAATCTCTCAAACACCTCCATTGTACCTGGAAAATAAAGTTGGACTGTTACAGGCAACCAGATCTAAAGCTCTGGTCTAAATAACAATTTTTAAAAAAAACATTCTGCTTCTTTTTTTATTTATTGCTGAAGTTAAAATTCCCTGATGTGTGTCCATAATAATATTAACTCTTGTTGGGTTTTGAAACAATTTCAACAAACTCTCTTATCTCAAAAGACTTGTCGTCTGATATTAATCAATAAATCTAAAAACAACCAAGGTTCTGATCTGTCCCTCTGTATTATCCACTGTAACGTCCTCTGCTCCCGCCATCAGCAAAGACACAAAGCTAAAGATGAAGCAGTAGAAGTCTTGTTATCCTTTTCTTCATGTTTTGTAAAGTTAGTTTTACCTTTTTGTTGTTTAGAACCAATTGGTCACGCCAGAAATWGAGTGAAGACAATGTTTTATTTAAGTAAAGTGACAGGAACTACTTCTTAAGAATAATAAAGTTGAAGTATCGACCGTCTCATTGTTTAAATGTTAAAACTCAGGGTTTGTTATCAGGACAAGGGGAGAAGGGTCAAACCATCTGCTGATGCTGCTGAACTGATCCTCCCACCTGACGTCTCATCAGCGTCTGTTTCTGATTTCTTGGAAAGGCCCCGCCCTCGAAACCTGCTTTCAGCAGAGAGTACAACCTTGTTTTCTCAGTACTTAGGCAAATAAAATGCATATTACTTGGTGCCGGCTTAGTGAACGTCACCTTTTTACACCTCAGAGCTTCTGTTTTCTTCAACGAACCCTGTAACTCAGCACCTCGACCAAATGATCATTTATTCATTCAWCCTCCAAAGCTTGAACAAACTTGTSTTTATTATTGTTRTTATWRTTGTTGASTTTAACAATCACTATTGTTCTGATAAATTMTTGCAACATCAGGTTCTGATGTTCACAACTGAGTAAATTTATCTCTCCACCTYGCAAAATTAGGCCTGCCAATTAGCAGAACAATTAGTTTTAAAAATGCTTTCATCTTCATATTTTCTTAAAGCTTTCACTTCCTTCTTTCCTAGTCGTAGCTTCTGGACAAGAACTGAACAAAACCCAAACAAAGAATAAATTGCTAATATTTTTATGCCCTTCTCATCCGATRTTAATCAGAGTTTTGAACAAAAACAGAGGCTTCAGTTTGAGTCCAAAATCTCCTTTGGTTTAACCCTTTGACCTGACATCAAAAAGACATGCATTTAAGACATTATTTAAATTTCAGTTTAAATAYTTTGTGTTTCCTGTAATTGTTCTGCATCATTTCTCTTCCACAAGCAGATAATAACCTCTTTAAAAGCTTTAAATKTTCAGGAAGAGAAGATTTGTCTTTAAGGCACATTCTGCTTTGTTTAAGTCATCAGTGGTGTTTATGAAAATGTTCTGTCATTATGTTTGTCGGGGAAAGAGGAGAATAAAATCAAAACCTCAGGACTGACGTTATATTTCATAAACAACTGAACTAAACTGAAAGAAACTCTCAGAAGGTAATACTGTAAATGGATGAGCATCTACAGCTGATTTTGAAGACTTTTATTTGATCTTGAGGGGTTTTATTTTGTTCACGAACCATTTGAAATTGTTAAAGAGGCCTGAAATCCTGTTTCCATCAATGCAARTTTTGCCTTCTTCATCAGCTTAATCTGAGAAGAAGAGAATAAAATCAGAGTCGGAGGGCTGCTGAACACAAACCGAGGCAGGATGAAGATCTTTGTCGGACTGGTTATTTTTACCAGTGCCTGGTGTTTGTCTGCAAAATACGTGCACGTTCAAGAAGAACTGAGCTGGCAAGATGCTCAAGAATACTGCAGAAACCACTACACCGATCTGCTACCTCTGACCAACTCACTGGAGGAAAATATCCTCAGAGATAATGTGGGTCGTGGAAGTAACGGATGGATCGGTGTCTACTGGAATCAAACCACCAACACGTGGAGGTGGTCAGGAGGAGATGATGTTATCTTCTGGAAAACTCTTTATGCGTACTACAATTCAAACGCTTTTGAAGAACCGGAACCGTATCCCATCACTAAGAACGTCTATTGGACAGGGTATAAGTGGATTTCAAAAAGAGGTTCTGCTCATGAAAATTTCTTCTGTTTGAGCCTGACGGTGGTCCAGGAGGAGCAGACCTGGGAGGAGGCYCTGGAGCTCTGCAGAAAGAATGACAGTGACCTCAGCAGCCTGCTGTCTGAGACCGAGAACCTGCTGGCCACGAATGAGCTCAATCAGACCAGCATCACTGATCCGGTGTGGTTCGGTCTGCGTTACTTTGGAGACGAGTGGCTGTGGGTGAACGGGGACCCTCTGGAGTACGAGAGCTGGTCCCGAGGAGGAGCTCAGGACCACCAGTGTMCAGGGAAGAACCRCTGTGGAGCTTTAACYAAAGGGGGAGTGTGGGAGAACCGGGACTGTCAGGAGAAACTCAGCTTCATCTGTGGYTGAGGGTCACTCTGCTCAGTTTGTCTGGTGTTGTGCTTTTATTGTGATGGAGTAAACATAAATCATAAAAAAGAAAAGACTTGAAGTTAATTTTATTAAGATATTCCAAAAATAGTAAGAGCAGACCCTTAAATCACATGTGTCAAACTCAAGGTCTGCAGGCCAAATATGGCCCTTGTTAACATTTTATCTGGCCCCAAAAGGTAATATTTTAAATGTGAAATAGTTTCATGGTTTCTCTTTTTTGTCGCTGGATTTTGTGATTTCTTCTCATGACAGCTGGACAATTTTCAAGCCAAGATAATTTAGTTTGAAGTTTTCCAGAGTATTTGATTTTATTGAGGAAA